CCCCCCCCCCTTTTTATTTTGCTGCTAGTTCCGAACAGTTGAATTTTGTATCTTCCAACAGATTTTTGTGAGGTCAAGGGTTGACTTTAATAGTGATCTTCGTGGAAAAGTTCCAGCTGCTTAGTTTGATTTTGATCAGGATTAATTGTCTCATTATTTATTCAAATTACGCTTGCTCACTACTGGCCGCTAGATTTATAGGTAGAGTGAACCTCTTACTATAAGACAATTACTAAAAGTAAAAATTCCTATAGGTCGAATATTAAATTGTATTAAACATACGTTTTGACCCATGACCTTAAATAATTATAAAAAATTCTTGTTCATAATATACGAAAGGGTGTTTTTTCAACTTAAACACATATTTACAGACTCAAAATAAATTATAATCTCATTTAAAATCTAATTCTATGGATAAATTCAAATGAAACTAAAAACACTGTGAAAAAATGACCAAAATATCCTTAAACTAATTTTTTTTTTTAAAAAAAGTTACAATGGATTCCTAAAGGATAAAATTTGACCTTGAAAGTTTAACAATGTTGGCCATATCATAATTTCCGGATTATAAAAATGTGCAGAATCGAAAAACGCTTTCGAATTATACTCACGTTCAAAAATTCAACAGCCAAATTCAAAGTTATGCGAGTTTTCATACATTTTTCTTATTCCTTTGCTTTTATAATTATGATTCTTCTAATTGATCCCATTACATGAATATTTGATTATATCAAACATATGCGACAAACATGTCCTAACAACATGTTTGCAGTTAAAATGGATAGAATTAAATAAGAAAATTAAGTTAAATCTTACCCTCTTGTGTATTATTAAGTGTATATTTGATAAGACAAAACTGGAAAATATAAAGAACAAGAACATTACTATTCAATCTTTTATGTAGAAACCTGATAAGAAAATTCATATGAAACTATAAGTAATTCAATTTTTTACGCGCTAATGCCTTTTCACATTTCTTATGGAAGTCACAATTTTATAAAATTAATAAAGGAAAATCTCGAAATTGTGGGACTTGCTTAATCCACGAATAAATTATTGGTGTTTTGATTTCCATGTGTGTTACCTTCCAGCATTAAATGTAGTGATTCAATTTTAGTTTTATTAATAAATTAATTATAAATACTCAAGTCATTTTCTATGTACACATTTTGAGAGATTTATGATTATCACTCACTTATTCGTCATTCATTTCTATCTATTTATAATTTAAACAGTTCATAAACACTCCAAAACATGCCTTAGACTAATTGAACTTTTAATATGAATGAATAAAAAACTCAGGACTTTTCATATTATACTCATCACTGAATTTGGTTTAATTACACGATTGCTACAAGAATTTTACCGATTATTTTTTAACATATTCGTATGAATTTTTTTCATTATAACCCTCAAACTCAAAATTATTTTCCACTAATGCAAAATAAACATCGTCGGTTGAAACAATGACTAACATGACAAAGTACAAACGGTGTGACTATGTGGCAATTAAAAAAATTGAAACCTTATGATTAATGAATAATGTTATCTTACACTGGTGATACTAAAACATCAATCTAAGTGTCACTATATAATGTGCTCAATGAAAAGTAGAAACATGTGACTACTCATTGAATTGATTCTCTCATTTAATGATACTTAAGATCACCTAAACTGGTGTTATAACACCAGTTGTGATAAATAGAATAACTCTATGATTAATACACGTAGGGTAATTTGCAATCATTGTCGTCAACCTTTACTATCTCTTGCATGTGTCCCCCAACCTTCATTTCGAGGAGGGAAATGAGACAACAATAATGATACTCAATTAGGGTTTAAAACCAAGGGCTTTGACAGGTGGTAAGTTGGCAGCACTTGTATGGATATTTTTCTTTTCCCTAACTGTCTAATGAAGTGTGTCACTTGTCCCCCTATGTTTAATCTTATCATTGAGCTTGTCACTATAGCAAAATTCATGAGACAAAGCTTACAAAAGTGCCGTCTACAAGGTGTGGAATTTTAATTTGGTACATAGCACGCCTAAGTCAATGGAAAATTTCATGGCGATCCATAATCCACAATTAAAATTGGGAATAACATTTTGAAGTATTGATTGAATATAATACGGTTTCAATGCATACTTGTAACGAAAGAAAAACTAGGTTACTCTTCTTTAATTTCTTGTAATCAGATCACTCTACCCATTGGCGGACCTACACAAGGTCCTAGTGGGTCACTTGACCCACCAGCTTCAAGTTGGGTTTTTCCTTCTTTTTTTTTTCTTTTTTTTTTTTTTTTTTTTTTTTTTTTTGGTTTTTTAGAAGAACAAAAAATTAGAATTGAGCAATAATGGTAGTTGGACTTTTTTATTAAAATAGAGTTCTAACAATGACCGAACAATTGAAAGAGTGAGAGTTGAAATTATTTTGTCATTTGTGATATTTAATTAGAAAATTCTTTAAAAAATTTTATTCATCATACATGTGAGGTTATTTGAAATTTTTTGGGAATCGTTATTTATCATATATATGAGATTTGTGAATCTATGATAGTGATCATGTGTATGTATTTTTGTAGAATACATAAATTTTTTTGTAACTTTTTAATAAATTTAATTATGTCCCACCAACACCAAATGTCTGCGTCCGCCACTGACTCTACCTCAATTTGCATGCAACCCTGGTCACTTCGTCTAAGCTCGTCACTTTGATTAATGGGACATGTTGACGTTGAGATTAAAAACTAATAATGGGAGAATGATGCGTATCCCCATGTCACACAAACAATCCACGTCACCACCTAAAAATACACTTTCAGGAAAACCCTTTAATCAAAAAAGAAGTTAAGTCATTATTTGGTGAGGATTAAAATCAAAATTTTAGCAAATTTCGATAATGTTGATGAAATACGTGATTGAAAAGTTGTGGATCTCATCAAATGTGTGGGTGAAATTAATTGTTAAATTTAAATTAAGTTAAAATTTTAATTTTAATCTCTACCATATATGAGCTAAAACTCTTCTTTTGCGATGAAGCATTTCTAAGAAAGAATGTTTTAGGTTGTAGGTGAAATGTCTGGGTGGCATATACATAAGCATCATCCTTTCGTCAATTTTTTTCGTATCTAGGTCAACAAATCACGTTAGTTGCAGTAATGGTATAGACGATGTGATTAAGGTTGCTTGCACACATATTGAAGTAGAAAGAATTGATTGCACGAAATTAAAGAACAATCTAGTTGTACATTCGTTGAAAGTTCGGTGATTGATGAAGCTCTTAATCCAATATAAGAAAGCAATGAGAAAATATGTTGTTCTAAATATAATGGATTATCGAAAATTCATAAAGATAGTTTGCCAAAGAAAAAAAAAAAACAAAAATTGCTTCGGAACTAAATTCATGTACGATCCTGAAACACTCGTTAAAGTTCGTGTCGTTTGGGTCTAATCCTATGGTTAAACTTTTGTAGGACCGAGGACTACTTAGAACAAAGTTTAGTTCAAGATAAAGTTCATGTATATTATACTTATTTTCAATCACACATTCTATCAATTTTCATTAAAATTTTCTAAAAATCTAATTTTCCTTCAAACAGAACAAAGGCTTATCCACTCATTAACGGCTAATGTCCACTTATTTAATTAATTTCAACTTTATTTTTCTTTGCAGAGTCCGCCATAACATCATAGTATGTCCATGTGTGAAAGTATACAAATACTTTTCAAACAAATCTTTGCCTTTTGTTTGCTCTCTGAAGAGAGTTTGAACAAGAGCAGGAACCCAGTGACTAAGGATTAGCACCTCTCTTTTTCTTCCGACGAGATTTGATCTTAACCTTTTTATCAAAAGGTATGGCTAATTTTTCACGGAATATTAATAAATAATACTCTATTACTGAATATAATCGTCTTTTTGATTCCTTTATCATGATTGTCTGTATCTATTTTCTTGCTATGAAGTATTATGGTCCTGGGAATTTCAGAACTCTTACGTACTTTTCCAATTAAATTTTTCGAAGATTTGGCAATGTATTCATGGAGATCTCCATCAAGATTAAATTATTTTATTGCTTACTTGTATTATAATATATAAATATGAATAATGATCATAATCATGAAATCTATTACGTTATCTGATTAAAAAATGGTTGATTTTCTTCAAATGAATATTGACGTTTATTGATTGTTCGTTTGATGAAAATATTCTCTTTGTCTTTATTTTCTTGATATTTTATGCCAGTTGTGTTTGTGTGCACACGTATATAAGTATACCTATATAAAGTATCCAGCATGAGCTTCATTTTTGTGTACTTTTCAGTAGGACCCTCTAAGCTTTTGGGGGATAATGAATCCAAAAAGGGATGGAGAGAAGAGAGTAATTTTTAGGTCAAACATCAATTAGGCAATTAATGATTCAAGAAATGGGACGACTAAGTTGTCATTTTAATCCATATTTTATTGTTTTCACCAATGCAACTTGCAGAAGAGTTTTCTATATTAGAGCAATCTGCTAACAAGTAGGTTTCTTCTGTGTTTCTGATAATTTTTGTGCAGGTAACCAGATAAGAAAGAAGAGTGTTGACGACATTTTCGAGCCGGAAGCTCGATAGATTGCTACCATGGGCGACGAAAACATCTATACGAATGATGGAACAGTGGATATCCATAAAAATCTTGCTGATAAGACGAAAACCGGAAATTGGAAAGCATGCCGTTTTATCCTTGGTAAAATTTCTATTTAGTTCCATACATGCAGTATATATGATAACTTTTGAGTAATTTCATTGCTATTAATATTTTTCGACTAGGAAATGAATTCTCTGAGAGGTTGGCATACTATGGCATGAGTACAAATCTGGTGAATTATCTTACGTTACGCCTTGGCCAATCTAATGTGACTGCATCAAACAATGTTACGAATTGGTCGGGAACTTGCTATATCACACCACTGATTGGAGCTTTCGTGGCTGATTCCTACCTCGGAAGATACCGGACCATTGCCAGTTTCGTATTCATTTATGTTATAGTGAGTATTTCTCCTGCGTCTTCAATATACTTATTTGATCTCACTATGAATATTTTGTTCTAGTTCTTGGGGATCCTCTGTTACTGCCGCATGTTTGTTGGGGGAGAATTGGACACTACCAGTTAATGACCCGGTGTTTGTACCCAAGCCGTTAACTTACTTATTGTCCGCTTTATATCAGGATTCGACTTAAATCTCTTTTAAGAGAAGGTCAAGAGTTCGAATCTAGGGATGCGATAGAAATCTGTGGAAGGGTAAGATGGCAATCCATAAGTCAACGGCTTGGGCATAGAGGCTAGATCATTACTACA